TGAATTGCTATTGAAGATTCTGTTGTTCCTGTAGGTTTCAGTCAACCCCGTGTGCTTGGATCATGTACACTGCCACGCATGCGAGACCACGTGTTGGACGACCGCACATGGACATTCATTAGACGAGCAGAGGGTACACAACAGAAAAGAGGAAGAGCATCTGATCCATCCAGAGGGCAGGTCAACTGTCATCTCTTCAGGTTCCCTCATTTAAAGGGCAGAGATAAGGAAACAGAACAAGGACTGTGCTGACAGGCTAATTAAATAATTCCTATTGCTGGAACAAAAAACATTGTGTTCTCACTAATCCTGAGTATTCTGGTCAACATAAACAGATGTTCTGGTGTTTTTCTCTCTTTACGCCTCCTTGAAAAGTACCTAGAGTAATTATTGTGGTCCACATCAGTTTAAAGTGTACTATTTGAGGTTTTGTCAAAGTGTTTGTTCTTTATAAACAGAAAACAACTATGTAATTGTCATTTAATTTTAAACCGAGTTGCATTCACATCTATTTTCCAAGTGAGAAATTTGTACAAGACTAAACATATACAGTTTAAATATGAACAGAACTATAAAACTGTATCACATTATCAAAAGCAATTACAAGTGAAACTGCAGACACTTCAGTCTAGTCTTTTAAAATACAGATGTTCGGCTCCTCTCACCTGCACAAACACTGAAGAAGAAGACAGCAATAATGGCCGTGAGGAACATGTTCTTCATCTCGTTGTTGGTGAGCAGGAAGTCCAGGGAGAAGGCTATGGCACCTCACAGGCCACTGTAGGCCAAGATGAACTGGTCCTTCTTGGTCAGCTTCACAATATGGAATTTATTGATGATGTAGGTGAGACCCATCACTCCTGAAACACAAATAGAGCTTATAAAGCAGGAGGAAGAGAGAAAAAACAGCAGCAACACTAATAACACTAATAATAACTTACATTGGCCTATATTTTATAAAGTATATAATAGATGCTGGAAACATAAATATAACAAGTTTACAACCAATCAGTAAATATATGGTTATTAAAAAGGTGCCATCATCAATAATTACTGGTTTTCTTTGCACATATTAACATTAACACAGTGGTGTTATTGGGCCAAGAGACTGACAGAGTTCACTGTCTGTGTTTTCTATACTGACCAACTGTGAAAGTTGTTTACATAAATGAATATGTTTCACATGCATATATGTTGTTTTGTTTTGATTTTAATGTAAAGCTTTTCAACCAGCAGGTCAGCTGCAGGCTACAAATTCAGACAAACATGTACAGTATAATTTTTGTAACATCAGAAAACCAGTCCCCTACTGTAGGGTACGACACAAACTTGGCTTAGTCCACTTACGACATGATCCCTAACAGATGGAAGACCTCTGCAGTGAGGTAAGCCATGTAGCTGCAGACGAAGACAAACAGGGGCTCGATGACACACGTGTGAGAGGTGAAACGGCCCCCAGGATGCCAAAGATGGCCCCCACTATGACGTCCCTCCCCCAAGGAAACCACGGAGAAGCAGACCACACCGAGGAAGGCGTCGCCTACAGTCACAGTCGCAGCGTGGGAAAACTCCTTGAACAAGTGATAGAGAACCTGTAGAGAGAGAGAGAGAGAAGGAAAGATGGTTAAATTGTAGATGTTGTTTAAGTCACAGTAAAATGTCACAGCTCATCCATGCTTCTTTAAGCTTTGCCACTGAGGGGTCTACTCTTCAACAATTGGTTAGCACGATACCTAAGAAAATTGTAATCCAGAGATATTTTAATAGTCTGAATGAGCCTTTTCTCTACAGTTAAGTTTTTTTCTCATGAACTACTGAAGCATTTACTCTGGCACATCCATAACTGGAACTATTTCTAATGCTGAACATGAATTGGAAAGAAACCAAATCCCTAATCAATTTGTTTTTATTCTTGTTATTTTTATTATATGTCTGCTCTGTATTTTTCCCACATTATGTCTGTAATCCACATTGCAAACTTAAGAGTGTTATATATATAAATGACGATATTTTCACCGTGCCGCCTCCCTCAGCTCTAAACCACAGAACTAACTCACAAAACTAACGTTTATCACCTTGTCCTCATAACAGACCCTTGACTGATCATAGCTTATACCACAAAACAAGCAAATGAAAGAAACTCAAATCAATGTAATTATTATTCCTGATCATACTGGTGGTTGTAGAGCATCAGATTTCAGCATCTCAAATGGAATTTCTTTAAATGGACCCAACAGGAATGTAAACAGCCCTCTAAATAGAAACTCTCATCAAGCAGAGACCCACACAGGGGCAGGGCTGGATGTTAAAACACCCATTTGAGTCTTGAGTCAATGTGCAGCACAACAATATCTGTGTTTGGTTGATTCATCCAACATTTGTCTTTACATGAGTAAAACAGCTACTGATGCACGCTGAGGACGTCATTTACATTCATGTTTAACACAGATCAACAGCAGGAAGAACGTAGACATGTTCAGTTTTTCAGCTGGCTTTTCATTTCTTGGAATGTTTTTGTCTCCGCACCATATTATATGATTTTATTTATTTGTTTGTGCTGTGTGCAGTAATGAAATCATTGAGTCAGAAGCCCATGAATGTATTTTACTTTATGATTTTTGCTGCTGACTGTTCTTTCTCTCCAAACTAATTGTTACAACACATATAATTTTCATCAGCTAAAAGCCGCCTTCACATTTCTAGAGATAATAATGAGTGTGGCTGTACACCATAAATATAAGTAATTCACTTTAAAATGTACTGTATTCTATGTGCAAAATATATTTGCATACATGCACACATCTGCACAGCAATATCTTGCTGTTAAATGCTTCAGACCATCTTACAAATAGCCACATTTCATCTCTACCAGCCTCTGCAGCTCTGGAGGAGAGAGCACGGGAGTGGATTAACAGAAAATTGATTACAATTTGTTCAGTATTATCAATGATTTCTTGTTGAGATTGATCTGATTGGACACTGGATACAGACAGAAGCAGAGAGAAAACAAAAACAAGGGCATAAGTTGAGAAAATGTCAAATTTAGAGAGACAGCTTCAGTGTGACAGATACACCTTCCAGATTTTTCTGCATGTACTGAATGTGGAATCCTTTTATCTGTATCCAGATATCTGCATAATGCCTTCATGAATGTACAGAGGGCATTGGGCCTGACACAGCAGCTCCACACTGGGCCTGTGTTAATATGATCTCAGTCTGTCTGCTAAATGAGGCCTTGACACCCAGTCTTTCTGTCACATGATCGGGGTGCACACTGTTACAACAAATGCTTCTGCAGTCCTGCATGCAGCAAGTGGTCTTGTGTGCAGCCTCCGAGTCTGCACTAGGGATGGGCGATACAACATTTTTCCTTTCGTTCATTTTTTTCCTCATTAATGTACACACAGCACCCCATATTGACAGAAAAACACAGAATTTTTGACATTTTTGCAGATTTATGAAAAAAGAAAAACTGAAATATCACATGGTCATAAGTATTCAGACCCTTTGCTCAGTATTTAGTAGAAGCAACCTTTGGAGCTAAT